GCTGTGAATTGTGTAAGCCTGCTGAATCACAGACCTGTACCTCTGAAACAAATAATACATTATATGTTAAAAAAAAAAAAAAAAGAGGATTTTGACTTTTTCAACTTGGATAGTAATGGTACAACAAAAACTAACCCAGCAGCTGTGCATTTCTTCACAGAATTAAATCAGAAATGCTACTTCCCGTGATGCATGCTTACTTTCATAAGCTTCCTCCAGAGCATGTGCCATGGATACACTGGAATAAGATTGATGTGTTTCCACTTACTTAGAACTTTTATATCTCATTGGTTTATAGTTAACAGTCTTTGTTTCACAGAATAGAGGCTCATACCCTTTTTTTGAGCGCTCACGCAGTTCTAACAATAGAGAGATGAATGTATTCTTCTCCAAAATGTGTACTTGTTTTCAGGCAGAAAAGTTGATTTACAAACTGTCTCAGTTAAATGCAGTGTCACATAATCTCTCTTTTCCTTTCCCTTTATCACTGCCAATGCATAAAGCCCTTCTAGAGGCCTGAGCCATGCTTTGTCACTATCTGACTCTTCTGCATTGGCAACCCCTAGGGCAGCATCAGCTTAAAGATTAACATGACCGCCAAGTATAGAAATACTGTCAGTCCACAGAACTTGTGGTGACTGAAGAAAAGAGCACACGATAATTAGTTGACTTCAAAATGTGTGCCCTTCAGAAAACTGCCAGAAGGCCCAAATCCTGAATTAAAGCACTGATTATAATATGCAAGACATTAAACAATCAAGAAATAAAAAGAGCTTAATCCAGGGTTGGCTGCCTTTATAGGACTTGGGGGCTATAAGCTCTAGCACCCTGCTGCTTGGGGGCCAGTTCACTCCCACTGCTAATTCTGTTAGACAAGTTATGGCCAAGCTGTGGCACAATGTTATCAAAAAGCAGACTGCTTATGACAACAACAAGGAGACAATTCTCCAGGAGCCATTGCCCAGAAAATCACTTTGATTCAGTGTCATAATATAATGTGTTTTCTCCTACTAAATAGATAATGTAAATAGAAAACCAATATTTGGCCAGTTTATAAAAATTTTTAAGTAAAAAACTGAGTGACATTTTGCAATAACTTGAAAGTGGCCCTGAAATCACCTTGTGATGACATGTGACAATCCCAACCTCAATTCATGAGTTAGTTGTAACATATAAGTTTTTGTGTTCCTCACAGTTGGGCTGAGAAAAATAACTAGTAGATCGGTTATTGAACAGAAAGTGATATAAAGCAGAGAGAGATGAATTTAGCCCACCTAAATCTCATTACTTGGATTTATCCAAAAGATCCTTCTCTAGGACAGGATTAACTGAAATTTTTAAGAATTATAATTGTTGGGCGCCTGGGTGGCTCAGTTGGTTAAGCGACTGCCTTCGGCTCAGGTCATGATCCTGGAGTCCCGGGATCGAGTCCCGCATCGGGCTCCCTGCTCGGCGGGGAGTCTGCTTCTCCCTCTGACCCTCCTCCCTCTCATGCTCTTTTGTCTCTCATTCTCTCTCTCGCAAATAAATAAAATCTTAAAAAAAAAAAAAATTTAAAAAGAATTGTAATTGTTACACATTACAATTAAAATGTTTTGTCTCCTGCCATTTCCTTGGTTACTACTTTCAAACTTGTTCTGGCCAAGCATCAGAACAACAAAGAGGGTCATTCAGTAGCTCGTTTAGGTCTGGGTGCAGATCTTTAGCCCTTAGCAATAATACAGGCTTATGTCCCCGTGCCTGGTTTCTCCCAAGATGTTCAGAACTATCTCTTGCTGTTCTCCATATAGAGCTGACTAGGGATCTGATTGCTTTCTCACATGTAGTGAGGCAAAGACTAAGCTTGTTATCTTTTCTCATCAACCTTTCCTTCTCCCTGTCTCCCTCAGCATCTGAGGACGGAGTGCTGGCTCTGGTCCTTTCATAAAATAATGGTGCACTTTTAAAACCAAACAGTCTACTGTTCTTACTTGATCACCATGGAGTCAGTAGTGTTCTATATAGATTTACTCCTACTGCTCAGGTGTCAAGTTTTCCAGTAAGATTGCTTGCTTGTTAAGATCTCATGCTGAAATGGAGGACCAAGGCTGGGGACCATCAAGAAATATTTTTTGAATGCCTACTCAGGAACTAGCACTGTTAGGGTTTTTGTTTTTGTTTTTTTTGGAGGGCGTGTGCACGTGTATATCCCAGAGAGTGGGTAGAGATGGATTTTCCCCCATCTATTATTATTATTAGCTGTGTCTTTTTTCACCAAAAGGGAGTTTTTAGAAGCAGTATTCTTGGATTCCGAACAAGTACAATTTGTTACCAGAGCCTTTTATAAGGGCGAATACTTTTCTCATTAGACATTTTTGTACGGTGGTTTCCCACCCCATCTTTCTCCCCCATACTCTCTGTTGGGTGGTGTGAGGTCTGTGTTGGTTGTTGGGGTTTTCATGTGTATTACAAGTGTGCAGCCTTTACATTAGTCATAATGCTGAGAGTGGGGACCAGGGAGAAAACCAGAGAAACAGTCTTCCTGTTTCACACACAGATGAAGGTGACTTATGTGACATTTACCTCGTTGTTTTCCTGTGCTCTCATTTTTGGTCTATGTAGCTATGTTTCCATCTTTTGGGTTCCTAATTCATGCTGAGGTCATGAAACTCAGTATGATTTCAAAAATATAACCTGAGGGGGCTGTCACCAGTTTCCCACATTTACTTTCTGTCACCCACCCTCTGTACAC